CTTCGTTTTTTTTTTTTGTTTGTTTGTTTTTAGTAGTCAGGTCAATAAATTTACCATCATTTTATCATTTTTAGATTGTAAGCTTTGTCTGATTGACTGTGTTAGTTCTCCCATACATTTCCAAAATATCCAAAAGAATATTTTATGTCCCCAGTTGCTTTTTTAGTATACAATTCTGAAGTAATGTAATGAAAGCCATTATTTTTGCCAGTGGTTGCCATTTCTGTACAGTCAAGCTAATGGAGTCACTCATGTAAAAAGTAGCATGTCTTCTAATGAAAGATCTTGATCTTTGTTTACATTCTACTGTTTTCATTTTGTGTTGAATTGAAATTCTTAGGTCATAGCTGTAGAAATAAGTGATTATGTTTGCTGCATGGTCTTAGCATGTGGCCGTTTAATTGGTGTTGAGGCCTATTTCAAGGCTTCATGTAGCTGGTTTTCCTCATGGTGTGTTGCTCTTTGTTTTGTAGGCATGGCTCCCATTCGGGATTCCGTCAGCCACTCCCCTAACCAAACAGGTGACTCACTTTTTCTTTTTCCTTACCATGTGCTGTTGTTTACCATTTTTGTTTAGTGTGTGTTAAGTTCAAAAGTCACCTAAAGACCTGTGGCCTGTAGTACGAAGCCAGTTTCGGTTTTTACCCAGGTAAGTTCACGATGAGTTTGAGCAAACTTGAGTTTTCGGGCTCAAATCAAGAAATTATCCTTTGACTATGTTCTGGCCTGTCATCTAGTGGCGAAAATTTTTTTTGGCCCGATGCCAAACTTACTTGCCGACCCCTGGCCTAGAGGTTGCTAGTTATCTATGCCTTCATCACGTAAATGCATAATACCTGGTTGCAATAATTTACAAAACAGCTCGGTCTCCTCATTTAAATAAGCCGCAGAGGGAAGACAGTTGAGAGAGAGACACGGCAGCTTTTCCGCGAGTGGGTGTGGTTTCAGCGCCACCAGCGGACACGCCCCCAAGCGTCTGAGAGCAGAGAATACTGCTTATTTTTTCACGATTTTGATAGCTTATTTTATTCACTTGCCGTTTTTTTTTAGCGTTCAAATTTGGCTGGGTGGTTAATAACACATTTTTCTGTGGTGAGATAAACCCAGAACACACATTTAATATTGACTTTACACAGACTTTTAAGTAATTTTGATAATCTAAATTTAACCAGTTGCTCTACAATGTCTTGCAAGAAATCTATCATAATGTCTTTGCATGGATAGACTGACTTTTCCATTTTTTTTTCTGCCAAATCTGTGTTTTTCCTGTTTTATGAAAGGCCAGAGCAGTAGTGCTGCAAATTGGTACAAAGTTCTCACTTTTCTGAATTAGTTTTACAATGCAAGTCAGCAATTGTACACTTTGCCCATAACACAGAACAAGTCTACTTTTAGGGATATTTCATCAAAGAATGAAAAGTCTGTAATCATTTACTGACACTCATCATTCCAAACTTGTATGACTGACTGACTTTAGTGGAATAATTTTTTTTTTCGTCCATACAAAGAGAGTTAGTGGTGTCCAAGGTTGTTTTGGACACCATTGACTTAAATGATATGGACAAAATATCTTTTGTGTTCAACAGAAGAAAGGGAGATAATTTTGGAATGACGTGATGACAGAATTTCCATTGTTCTATCCCCTTGGAGTCTACAAGTCTCTTCTTGGTTGACGACTCTTTTTGTCTCCCCTGGAGAGATGAAATACTAGATCGAAATGTAACTGTAATTTTCCTTTACCTCAGTGACCTTCAACAGAATCTCCCATTTTATTGAGTCACTCTTAAACAAACAGTTTACTCGAGACCTGCAGTGAGACTGTCTGTGTTTCTTTGTCTTCCCATTTCTCTTGGTAACACAGCCAAGGAGAAAGTCTCAGACTTGGCAAGAGAACAGTGCTCAAGGAAGCTTGGCAGCCATCTTGCAGAAAAATATGAACGCAAGAGCAGAAAATGTATTTCAAGGAACACAGCAGTTGCGTTATTGTTAGAGTTTAGTGCCGCCACACTTGCCACATCTACGTAAAATCAGTGAACTTTCAGAGACGCTTCACACTTAGTGTTGCTGTAAGCAGTCGTCTGTCTTTCCCTCCTCTATCCTGGCATGCAGCATGATCATGCTGCTGCTACAAAATGGTGGCAGATCTACTACCGTTTCAGTCTGGCTTGAGTGAGACACCTCTCAGCAGGACAGAGACGGGGCCTATGGGCAGTTAGCCATTGTCGCATAATCCATAAATGGGCAAGTTATTATAAATTCTGGACAAAGTCTACCAAATGTTAATATTTTCAGGATATTGTTTATGTACAGCATTTGGCTTGTGTTTTAGAATGTGTTGTTTGCACTGGGTGTTTTACAGTTAATCATTGATAAAGTACAAGGATACAGTGTAACTAAATCAGAATTGGGTAAGGGATTGTATTTATATTTTTGTTTTATATACAAGTTCATATGTTTCATTCCCTTAGTGTCTTATGTTACTGTTCAATCTCCTTTTGCAAAGCTGTTGCACAAACTGTGACACACATACATACATATTTTATTGTCATGATTTTTTTTGTCCACTTGTCTGAATTTAGTCCAAAAACAGACGCATTTTCATTCTCTCTCTCTCTCTCTCTCTCTCTCTCTCTCTCTCTCTCAGTGTTTGCCATCTGAACTGATTTGACCTTTTATTTGTGTTCACAGGTTTGGAACATGCTGGCCTGGAGCCTCAGTATGAAAATTCACCATGGAGCTCTGGCTCACCTTGCAGCAACTCGAACAGCAACTGGGGAAAAGTTATTGTAGATAAGGGACCCTGGCCCTCCATCACTGGTAGTGACCCAGAGTTAGCTTCAGAATGGAAAAGTTATTGTAGATAAGGAACTCTGGCCCTCCATCACTGGTAGTGACCCAGAGTTAGCCTCAGAATGTATGGATGCTGACTCTGCCTCCAGCTCTGGGTCAGAAAAAAATCTTAGTATGATGGCATCTGGGAGCACTGGTGGTGACAACAATGGCAATAGTTCTCATTTCATGGTTGCAAATGGCAGCAATAATGTGGGTAATGGGAGTGTTAAGGAGCCTTGGGGTGTATCCAATGGCTCGATGCTAAGCACATGTCAAGGCTCCGGCGAGGGCCCCAGCAGCAAGCTGGCAGAAAGCAGCCATGGCAAAATAAATGCATGGGGTACCCAAGGTTCCTCAACCAATGTAGGTATAAATCCAAGCACTTTGAACCCAAATGCCAACCATGGTGCCTGGCCCGTTCTTCAGAACAATGGGCCCAACCCCCATGGGCCTGCGGGGAACGGAAATGGTGGCACCAACACTCAACAAAGCACCATAGGTCAAACACCCAGCATGCAGAGTATCAACTCTAAGATGTCCTGGGGATGCCTGCAGGAAAATATGTCTGAAGCTGAAGTCAATGGTACAAACAAGGTTCCAAGTGGGCAGCCTCAAAACCTTAACACTGAATTTAATGGACCAAATAACACTACTAACACGATGACCTCTAGTTTACCAAACTCTACAGGTTCAATGCAGATGAATGAACAGCCCCCAGGGCACCGAGCTTGGCCTATGAGTACAGGGGGCTCCCCTCAGCTCCCTATATCTCCAGTCTCTAATGGCACTTCCATTTCTCAACATGGCAACAGTGAGGGAATCAACAGCGGGTCTTATGGTACAGCATGGGGCGTTCCGCCCGGCACTAATTACTCTGGAGACAAATGTCCCATCCCTAAAGGCCAAGCTGTGGGCGACACTGTGAATGCAACTCTAATGCAGTCTGGAGCCAATGGCTCCTCTGTGAGTGCTGCTTCTTTAAAGAATAATAATAATAATAACGGAATGGGCGGTCGTGGAGGAGGTTGGGACTCAGCACCCGCTACCTCACAAAATATGTCTTGGGGAGCAGGCAGTGGTGTGGGCCCAGCTGGGATCCCTCGCCCCTGGGGGAGTGCCTCCTCCTCCTCCTCTTCCTCTTCCTCATCCTCTTCAAACACTGGCACTAAGGTCTCAAACGGGGAGTGCCAGAGTTAGCCTCAGAATGTATGGATGCTGACTCTGCCTCCAGCTCTGGGTCAGAAAAAAATCTTAGTATGATGGCATCTGGGAGCACTGGTGGTGACAACAATGGCAATAGTTCTCATTTCATGGTTGCAAATGGCAGCAATAATGTGGGTAATGGGAGTGTTAAGGGCCCTTGGGGTGTATCCAATGGCTCGATGCTAAGCACATGTCAAGGCTCCGGCGAGGGCCCCAGCAGCAAGCTGGCAGAAAGCAGCCATGGCAAAATAAATGCATGGGGTACCCAAGGTTCCTCAACCAATGTAGGTATAAATCCAAGCACTTTGAACCCAAATGCCAACCATGGTGCCTGGCCCGTTCTTCAGAACACTGGGTCCAACCCCCATGGGCCTGTGGGGAATGGAAATGGTGGCACCAACACTCAACAAAGCACCATAGGTCAAACACCCAGCATGCAGAGTATCAACTCTAAGATGTCCTGGGGATGCCTGCAGGAAAATATGTCCGAAGCTGGAGTCAATGGTACAAACAAGGTTCCAAGTGGGCAGCCTCAAAACCTTAACACTGAATTTAATGGACCAAATAACACTACTAACACGATGACCTCTAGTTTACCAAACTCTACAGGTTCAATGCAGATGAATGAACAGCCCCCAGGGCACCGAGCTTGGCCTATGAGTACAGGGGGCTCCCCTCAGCTCCCTATATCTCCAGTCTCTAATGGCACTTCCATTTCTCAACATGGCAACAGTGAGGGAATCAACAGCGGGTCTTATGGTACAGCATGGGGCGTTCCGCCCGGCACTAATTACTCTGGAGACAAATGTCCCATCCCTAAAGGCCAAGCTGTGGGCGACACTGTGAATGCAACTCTAATGCAGTCTGGAGCCAATGGCTCCTCTGTGAGTGCTGCTTCTTTAAAGAATAATAATAATAACGGAATGGGCGGTCGTGGAGGAGGTTGGGACTCAGCACCCGCTACCTCACAAAATATGTCTTGGGGAGCAGGCAGTGGTGTGGGCCCAGCTGGGATCCCTCGCCCCTGGGGGAGTGCCTCCTCCTCCTCCTCTTCCTCTTCCTCATCCTCTTCAAACACTGGCACTAAGGTCTCAAACGGGGAGTGGAACACTTTGCCCAGCAACAGTCAGCATTCCAATGATAGCACGAATGGGAGCAGGAAGGGAACAAATGGATGGAAGTCCTTGGAGGATGATGCTCTTGGTATAGGGAGCTCCGGTCAAGCATCACAAGGCAGCACATGGAATAAATCTACAGGCAGTGAAGGAAGTGGAGAGAGCTTGGGAGGTCGCAGTGAGAGGGATGGGCAATGTGGTGGCAACCGAAGGAGAGGTAATCAGCAGGGCATGATCAATGCAGCTCTCTCTAAAATTGACGTGGACCCCAGGGTGCTGTCCAACACGGGGTGGGGACAAACTCCAGTCCACCAGAACACTGCATGGGATGTTTCAAGCTCTGATAAAAAGACAGGAAATGGACATACAGGCTGGGGTAGCGCTCCCCCTCAGGCGTCTAACTCAGGTGGTTGGGGAGATGGACCCAGCACCAACAAAAGTAGCGATTCTTCAGTGTCTGGGTGGACAGAAACTAAACCTTCAACTGGCTGGGGAGAAACCAAAGGCCCAGTTGGGCAAAGTGGATGGGAGGATGCCCCTTCTGTTACAATGAACAAGGGTGGCTCCTCATGGAATGGCACCAAGGATGAGAAGTCCTCCTCTTGGAATAATCCGTCGAAGGCAAAGCAGGGATGGGGCGGAGAAGGCCCGAAGGGAAACCATTGGGGAGAGCCCCAGAAGTCTGGTTCAGGAGGCTGGGACAGTGACAGCGACCGCTCTGGATCGGCCTGGAGTGAGCCGGGGCGTTGCGGGACAAGCAACACCTGGGGAGGCAGCGGAGGCACTAACACTCCTGACCAGAGTGGCCCAACCACAGGATGGGGAGAGCCACACAAGACCAACAATCAAAACCAAACCTGGCGCGAGCCAATCAAATCAAGCCACGCCAACCCCACCTGGGGCGACAATACAAAACCGCACAACTCTTCAGAGTGGGGCAAGCCCCAAGATTCCAGCATGGGAACGTTCAGGAGTGGGAGCACCTCCCAGACTGGAGCCCCTGGTCAGAACAAGCCTGCAGGATGGCTGGGAGGCCCGATGCCTACTGCCTCCAAAGAAGAAGAATCCACTGGATGGGAAGATCCATCACCAGAATCCATCAGGCGTAGAATGGAGATCGATGATGGTACTTCAGCATGGGGAGATCCCAACAAATATATCTGCAGCAACGTAAATATGTGGAACAAGAACACTGCTGGAGAGCAGGATGGCATGGCTGTTTCTCAGCCCCCTCAAGCCCAAAGCACTATGGCCCCAAAGGAAAAGAACTGCAGCTCAGGTGGGTGTCTTCCTTTTTGGCAGTGCCTTGGCAATTATTACTCACACATTATATTTATCTGAAGTCATGCAGTCATCCCTTTGGAATTTCTCTGGATGCGCTTTTTCTTCCCACCCCTTTCCTCTAATGCTTACGGCACTGACAAGCTCTGAACTTACGAGCAAGTGTTTGTGTGTGTGTCTATATATAAATGTGTTTATGCAGTGCAGAGGAATGTATATACTTTGTAAAAGTGCAGCTTTTTCCATTAATCTTTAATTATTTGCCAAACAGAAAATGTTAAGGTGCATGTGCAAATAGTGTTCCTACTTCATTTGGAATTGGCTGTGGATAAGCTGTGCTCAGGGAAAAATAGGCTTTGGTTACATTGTGGCCGATGGTGCAGTCATATGGCAGCAACTTGAGCAGCAGGGCACACATGAACAGGGCTATTTTTGAAGGAAGTATTCAGGGCATATGCTGGATGGTGAAAGTGCAAAAAGCTCAGTGGTTAAATGTAAGCTGATCCATCAGAAGGACTTCAGAGTAAACAAAGCTTACATAAGCATGTTTATGCAAGGGTCGGATTTGGGCTATTGGAAAGTTTGCAAGTACAGTCCAATCCCACTTTTGAAGTTTATTTGTAAATATTAATTGCATTGTCTTTAATAGATTTCAGTCAAGTATGTTAAATATTTTTAGATGCAAATTAGTTGTTGCATAGTTATTTTCTATGTAGCTTATGCATTACACTTTGATTTTTGTTTGCTCTGACAGATTTCAGTTTGCTTACAAAATAGTAATATGCCTTCTTTTAATTGTGCCATCCTCTCATTTGTTGCATTCACTAGTTTTTGTGCAGAACAATATAGCATTTTGTATACTGGTCTTTGATCATAGTTTTTTTTATTTTTTTTGATCACAGGGTGGGGAGAGCCATATGGTGGGCCACAAAAAATTGAGTCCTCTACCTGGGGTGAGCATGCTGCTCCACCTGTCACTGTGGACAATGGCACGTCTACTTGGGGAAAGCCTGTTGATACAGGTTCCAGCTGGGAAGAGCCGGGGAGGCAAAACTCAGGAGGCAGTGGCTGGAGCAATGCTGCTATAGGACAGCAGTCACAGCACAAGTCTGGTACGTCCCATCTCCAATTGGGGCAAAGAACTTTCTTTGATTTTTCTTTCTTTGACTTAATTTCTTCTTGTTTTGTTTAGCTTTTCCGATGTAAATTGTGTTTGGGTTTTTTTTTTTCCCCTCCATTTTTAATTTGATTTTGGCTTTTTAGGATCCAAACCTATGCAAGATAACTGGGGTGGAGAGGAGATGTCCATGACGGGGCACTCCAACTGGGAGGAGGAAGTGGAAGTAGAGATAGGCATGTGGAACAACAATCCATCACAAGAAGTGAACCAAACTGGAAACTGGCCCTACAAGAAGATGACTCCAAAGGTAATAATTAAGATAAATAATTAGTAATTAAGACCTCATTTAGCCTGGCAGAAATGTTTAAAGTGTCATTCACTGAATTTACTGTTAAATCTAATAGCGAGGACAAAATTATGTGTGTACATTTTGCTTGCTTATTTATTTTCTACCCTTCTTTCCATTAGCTGAACAAAGGACCCAACAAGCAAGATGATTCTCCATGGATGAATCAGTTTGTGAAACAGTTCAACAACATGTACCCTGTAAGGATCCAGTCTTGATTGCTATATGTTTATGTAAAACCTGTTATACTAAGTATTATGTGTCCCCAAATCCTTTATGGAGCATAGTTATTAGATAGCACGTTGACGTTTTTTTGTCATTTTACAGAGGGATTCCGCTGAAGACTCCCTGAAGAGCAATAAGATGGATATGTCTGGAGGTAGGTCACATTCACATGCTCCTCCAGTACTGATATCGAGTGATGTTTGTTGCAGTCCATGAGTATTAGCATGATTTTGTCAAATCTATGAATTCTTCTCATCTTCTGCAGGAATGACAGACAAGCGCATTGATGTTGACAAGCATGTTCTTAATATCGGAGAGTATGGGAAAAATCCTGCTTCACGCCACCAGATCCACAAAGACTCTACTATAGACCGTAACCCCTATATGGATAAGGTCAGTTATTTCCTATCCTCCTATAACAGTAATGGAGCCTTAATTTTGTCCAGTCTTGTATTCCTGCTTGTTCGGTACTTTAGCACCCTCTATGGGACGTGAATGCAACTTAAAGTCCTCATGATATCAAAATTGAATGCTTATGGCTTCAAGACCAGCCGATCTCAACCTTTTTTCTTTTTTTTTTTACTCTGTCCTCCTTTGTCCATAATGAATTATATTTCCTCTGGGGAAAATCTGCTATAATTAATATTGTTTTAAAAACACATTTTCTAATTTACAGAAACTAGGAGTGTCCATGGATTACAATTAGTAAATAACCTAATAATTCTAATTAAAATTAAATTTCAGTATTCCTGAAGTTAAGATCTTCAAATTAAACAGGGTTATTAAGGGAGTGAATTAAGTTGTATTACCTTATTTTTAAGCTTATTTTGTCGTGTTTTAAAAACATTTCAGTCCTGAGGGCACCATTTAAAATTTGCTGAGGCCCCTACTGGGCACCGTATATATAACCACTGCATAAGACCATGTCTGTTAGATCTAAGGATATATGTATTGAAATGCTACAGCTGATTTCATGGGGTATTTAGAAGCAACTCTTTCAGTAGTCGTAGTCTTTCTTCTGATCCCAATTTTCCCATTGCCTCCCTAACTTAATAAAATTGAAGAAAGCACTCCAGTTGCTAAAACATGCCAAAGAGGATGCTAACATAGCCTTTCTCTCTCCTTTTCTGTGTTTGTTGATGTGTCTTTCTCTGGTGGCCTGGTGTTCCTTCTGGTCTTTGTCCAATTCCTCACTGCTGTTGTGCTCTGCGTCCTGCTCCTCTCGCTGCTTGGCCTGTGGTCGTGCTTCAGCTTTCACTGCCTGTATATGATAGCTCTGTAACAGAGGAGTCCCAAAACTCACAGATCACTTCCATGCAGAATATCAGCTTTTCCCCAACAAATAAGGCACTGCCAAACCAGTGCAGCTTGCCTCACCATCCAAACTCTGCCTCTGTTAGGCAGGTGAGTTAGTGCATGCTGCTCCTTGTGTGCTGAAGGTGTGAATGCACTGGATTGCCGGATGCTCATTTACATGTGGGGTGTTATGTTTCTTGTCAGAATGTAAACATGTACGGTGTCGGTAATGCAGCAGCACAAGGCAGGAATGCTCCGCAGCCTCCAGCACAACCTCTGAACTCCGCTCAGTCCAATCTACGCAACCAAGTGCCTCCTCCACTACTTCCCTCTCAGGTAATGCCACTTGGGTTTTTAAATCCCTGCTGACTGTAAGATGAAGATGTGTGGTGTACAGGGTTCCCAAGGCCTTGGAAATATCAGGGAATTTCCAAAGTGTAACTCAAGGCCTTTTTTTTTCTCCTGAGAAAAATTGTGATGTGTATTTTAAAATGCAGTTTACAAAACTCCAGTGACCTTAGGCTAGTCTTACAAGTGAGGCTAGTCATCTTATTTTTTTTCTTTGTTAGTTACAGAAAAAGTAGACTTGCCAAATTTGAATCCAAAAATGCAGATTGCCCATTGACTAACTGCTTGTTGGTTAGACTAGTTCTTAACTAGGGCTTAACATAGTGGCTATTCTTATGCAACTCGTCCCAGGTTTGCAGTGTATTATGAGTTTCTCTGAAATTCTAAAAACACCGGACCATGAGCTGCTCACATGTAAAAACACAGTGCCGTATTTTATATCTGTCATGATACAACAACCATATCACAATTTTTGTTTGATTCAGATTAATTTTGCAGTCCTGCTTAAAAGTATTGAGGGTCTCACTGTTGCGGCTCCACTATTTATCCACTAAGAAATATATATTATATTAAATAAATATTATATAGAATGAATTAATATTACTTTCTTTTTTTATTATTAAATTAATATAATACTAATATTTGAATACACACACTATCTATATAATATGTATAATCAATAAATATTAAAATAAATATTCTCAGTTTAGTATCTTTTTTTTATTAATTGATCAATGTTATGTATTTTTTTTTTATAAAAAGGTTCATAACAAATGTGTACTTTTTTTTTCTTTTTTTTCTCCCAGGTCCCGCCACCCCTGTTGAAGTACTCTCCCAATAACGGAGGTCTAAACCCTCTGTTTGGCCCACAGCAGGTGGCTATGTTGAACCAGCTGTCCCAACTCAACCAACTGTCTCAGCTTTCTCAGATTAATCAGTTACAGGTATTGATCTTGTTGCTAGTACCAGCCTAGAAGTGATAAGTTAACCCGTTCCCTGTCATACTTAAAACTTACACTTTTTTCCCCCGTCCCAGCGTCTCCTTTTGCAGCAAAAAGCGCAAAGCCAGAGGGCCATGCCTGTTAACAGCCGCCAGCAACAGGAACAGGTTTGTGATCTCTTAGACCCATTTATGTGTTCCGTTTCCTTCTGTCTTGGCTCGTTTGACGTGACATTTTCCATTTGTGATGACGTGTAGGGTCGTGGTCTGGGTCTGTCTCAGCAGATGATCCAGCCTCCCCGCCATCTCGATCCCTCCCTGATGAAGCAGCAGACTTCCCCTCAGCCACCCTCGCTGCACCAGCCCAGCCTCAAGTCCTATATGGAGAACTTCATGACCCCCAATGCCTCCGACCTGCAGAAAGAACAAAGTTCCCTGAGCTCGTTCAATAATTTCCCTTTAGGTGGGTGTCCTCCCCATCTTAATGTAGGCCAGACTGACTCTTTGTTGCACCAAGCTGCCAAGCCCAACACGATGTTTGCCTCTGACATGTCAGGCTATCAGCCAGCTGGCATTAGTCAAAGTCATAGCCTCCTAGCCCCACCTCTGAGCAATGGTCACATGGTGCCAGGCTCTCCCATCAACCCTCGGGTAGGAAAGAACTTCTGTCCTGACAGCAGCTCTCTGCCAGCAAGAGGTGAATACAGTCTATTTTGTTGTCCCCAGCAAAATTTCCTCTTGCATTTTGTATTTGAGGGAAAAGAAAACCATGCTATGTTGCAAAACCTTTGGAGTTCAGACCCTTATTATTTGATTGGAAATCCAATGTTTGACTGGCATATGTATGGTGCTTCTACTCATAATTTCTGCCGCTTGACAACAGTAAGGTTGTTTTACTTTGTTTGTGCTTGTCTCCCCTTCCATATATATTCCCATGTTTTATTGTGCACTCAGTAATTTTTTGTTGGTTGCGTTGTTGCGACTGCCATAGTGGCATGGACATTGTGTTGACTTGTGACGCTGTCTCCAAAATAAATGATTTAGAAGTACTTTTATCAAGTCTTTAATGAGAAAAAATACTGAGTGGACTGATTAAATTTTCTTCTTTTTTTTTGTATTCCTCTAGGTTTGAACTCAAACTTGAATGTAAGCAACCTCGACATTGGCAGTGTTGGTTTTAAGGAGCCACAGTCCCGTCTGAAGAAGTGGACTGCCATGGACATTTCCGTTAACTCGCCACTTGATCAAAACCCCAGCAAATCTGGTAGGCTTCCTCTTTTTTTTTTTTATTCCTTTTTTGGTAGTCAGTTTTAGGGGCTACACTGTTAATATTTAAAGATGTTTACAACAGCTGTGATTAATTGACACATTGATTAATTGTTAATTATATTTATTTATCTATTGCTGATATTTATTTAGAGTGTGAAGTTGACTGTTTAGGCAGCATTGGTTATCTGATGTATAAAACAGCAGTCAAGTGAGTTTTGGATGTGTAGATAAAGAATGCTTTGCAGTTGACCTACACAAAAAAAATTAAATTCTATTTAATAATGAATACAATATCAAAGGAAATAATCACCAATATTTTTGTCATAATTGTGTCATCTCAACAAAAAATGTTTTTCATATGCAGTTTTGAAAGTGTGCAAAAAAGTCTGATGGATATGATTTTACTATAGGTGCTATAACATCTGGCCTGAGGCTTGAAGACTCACCCTTTGGTCCATATGACTTCATCAATGCCAGTAACGCTTCCATCAGTCCTCCTGGCTCTGTGGGAGATGGCTGGCCCAGCCGTGCCAAATCACCTCATGGTTCCACCAATGTCAACTGGCCACCAGGTTCGGTCCCATTCGCTTCATAAATGCTTTACTTGTTCCAATCAAATCTTGCATTGAAACAAAATATTACAGAGTAGCTCAGATGGTCGAGCTTGTCGCTGCGCCATTGTAGCATAAATGACACTGTGTCTTGTTTGTTTGGCAGAGTTCCGTCCTGGTGAGCCTTGGAAAGGATATCCAAACATTGATCCTGAAACTGACCCATTTGTCACTCCTGGCAGTGTGATTAATAATCTCTCCATTAATACAGTCCGGGATGTTGATCACCTCAGGGACAGGAACAATGGTAAGCAATCTGTTAAACCAGCTATATCAGTATACACTGCTGTTCAAAAGTGGGTTTTTTTCTTCAGCAAGGATGCATCAAATTGACAAAATGAAAAGGCTTTTAAATTAATTAAAAAAATAAATAAATGCTGTTCTTTTGAACTTTGTATTCATCAAAGAGTCCTGTAAAAAATTATTGCTGTCCACAAAAAAAAAAAAGCAACTGTTTTCAATATTGATAAAAAATTATTATTATTGTTGTGGACAAAATCAGCATATTAGAATGATTTATGAAGGATTGGGTGACATTCAGCTTTGCCATCACAGGATTAAATTACATTTTAAAATATATTAAAATAGACAAGTTACATTACATTACATTAATACATTTTCACAATATTTCTATTATTACTATATTGATTAAATAAATGCAGACTTCTTTCAAGAAGAGATTTCTTTCAAAGGCATCACAACAAAAATCTTCTGACCCCAGATGTTAAAATTGTAGTGTGATTTGTATGTATTAGTGTTTCCGTCAATTAATTTTTTTTCTGTTCTTCCAGGGCCATCCTCATCACTTACCACCACGCTGCCTTCAAATAGTGCCTGGACATCCATTCGTGCCTCCAACCACAATAGTTCCCTCAGCAGTACAGCACAAAGCACTTCAGGTTGGTGGGCAGTTATTGCGGCATAGCCACGCAGGCTTGTGACCCTCATACACCTTTAACTTGATCTTTTTTCTTCCCTGCAGCCAGAAACAGTGACTCCAAATGGTCTCCTGGTACAGTCACCAACACCTCTTTGGCTCATGAGCTGTGGAAGGTTCCTCTCCCCTCAAAAGGTATCTCTGCTCCGTCCCGCCCCCCGCCTGGCCTGACTGGCCAGAAACAGCCCTCATCTTGGGACAACAGCTCTCTGAGACTGCCAGGCTGGGGTAGCTCTGAATCCAGATTCAACTCTGGTTAGTCAGTTATATTCCCATTCACCTACATAAACTCTATTAATAGTGTAAATGATGTTGCGTTTAAAGAAACGAGAGAGACTTGAAATGATCATTGTCCGCAGGTTCCAGCTGGGGTGACAGCAGCTCAGGGAGAACTAATTGGCTTGTTCTCAAAAACCTCACACCTCAGGTAAGATGCTTAATGATTTGGAATGTACTGACTCGTTTTAGCAGGTTAAGCATTCACACTGCCTGATTTTTGCAGCATTTTTAGCAGAAAACACATTGAAAATGCACTGTAAAACTATTTATCGGCACACTGTTTTGCAATTTAGGGTTTTATGAATTACCCTTAATTACTAATAGATAGATAATTTATACTTTTTTTTTCAATATAAGTTTGAATGGAAAACAAAACTTGTTTTAAAGGGATAGTTCACCCCAAAAATGTAAATTCTGTCATTAATTACTCACCCTCATGTTGTTCCAAACCTGTAAGGTCTTCGTTCATCTTCAGAACACAAATTAAGATATTTATGAAAGCCGAGAGCTCTTTGACCCTCCATAGACAGCAACACAACTGAAACATTCAAGGTCCAGAAAGGTAGTAAGGACATCGTTAAAATAGTCCATGTGACATCAGAGGTTTAACCCTAATCTTATGAAGCTGTGAGAGTTTGTAATTCTCAGTGGCCAACTCTCAATAACTATTTTGTAATGAATGGGTGTTATTAAAGGAAAGGCTCCATTTAGAAACCTACATATTGTTTTATATATAAAGCTACAGCAGAATCATTTCTTGGGTAACAAGTCATGCCTGTGTTTTACAGATTGATGGCTCCACCTTGCGAACTCTGTGCATGCAGCACGGTCCACTGATCACATTCCATCTGAACCTTCCCCATGGCAACGCTGTGGTCTGCTACAGCTCTAAGGAGGAGGCGGCAAAAGCCCAGAAGTCACTGCACATGTAAGTCCACCTTTTTTTGTTATCCTTTGTTTTTCCCCCCAATGTGGGTAAAGAACAGAAATGTTATTACCAAAGCTAATAATTACTAAGCCATTTAAGAGGAAATTAGTGTTTGTAAATCAGCTATAAATAACTTGATCACTTCTGGAATAACTAGATTTATTTTAATTACATTAAATAGAATTTTCGGTAAATGTACAGTTTTAGACTGCAAGTTCATTTTAAGGTCTAAAAAAAGCCCCCTAGTGGGCCCCAGCCCCCTGTTTGAGAACCAGTGCATTAGGGTGATATGCATAATACAGTTTAATCATGTACTCCGATTCTTAGAAATCAAATATTCTGGATGCACTGATCAAATGTTTAGATTAGGAGTTTTGTTTGGAATAACTCAACGTTCTATTAATATAATAGTATCCTTAGTGATTACTTTAAGGGTCTTGACCAGATAATTTCACAAACACAACACTTTTTCCCCCCCCCCATTACAAAAATCTGTTAATGCTTATGTCAGGGGTTTTCAAACGTTTTGGAGCCAGGGACCCCTTACAGGGGAGAGGATTTTCCAAGGACCCCTTACAGGGGAGAGGATTTTCCAAGGACCCCCTCATAATTATAACAGTGTTTAAGGCTAAAGTTTAATGTGGGTAGGAGGAATGAACATAATATGATTGTTTTATTGGTGCAAATGGTCCCCATTGTATATGTACTTTTTAATACTACAGCATAGTATAGGGATGTAACGATTCACTCAACTCACGATTCGATTCAATTCACGATTTTGATTTCACAATTCGATTCGCGATTATTATAATTTTTTTTAACAAAATGAGATTTAAGACAAATTATAAATTAAATGTGTCCTTTTATTATTGCTTGGACAAAATGCTGCACATTTCTTTGTGAAATTTAAATATAACACTATAATAATATACTAATATATACTAATATAGCACATATTATTGCTCTTTTGTTAGTTTTGATTGCTTCTACATAAGTTGCATCGGTGTGTAAGTCGCATTTTACTATTACTTTCAGAAATAATTTAAATACTAAATACTGAATACTAAAACGAATGTTAGGGGAAAAAAACATTTATAAACACTAACATGAATTTTTACTTCAAATCGTTACTCCAAATCGTTTAAATTTAGTGGCATTCATAACAGAACAAAAATAAATGCATATATATATGTATAAAAAATAATAATTGTAGTGCCGTTCATTTCAAACATTTATTTTAAATGCTATATCCATAACAAACTAAACTTACTTACTAAAACTGAAACATAATCACGTAGTTGGCTCTATTAGGCTACTTATTGTGTAAAGAAGGCTTTGTACTTCTCTCATGTCCGAATATCTACTAACAGCATCCTTCACATATGCAAAAAAAAAAAAAAGTCTTTGGAAAAACCACGGAATGGCGATGCTCACGCTGTCCGGCAAAACCTACATATTGTACAACAGACAAGTTAAATTGAGCCACCAAATACCTTTTGTATGTTTAGTTGTCTCATTTAGTTTGCTGATGGTGAGGCTGCGATGTCAAGTTGCAATGCTAGAACTGATTTGTTGTGAGCACGCGGGAGGCGCCAGCGCGAACACTTTGGATTCCTTATATCAGCGGGAAAATGTGATCTCCGTCAGATAAGAGCAAGACATCATTCAAAACGGTCTTTTTATTTGTCTACCTTCAAAATGACAGTGAAACATTGTGGTTTTGTAAAATAAAGAAAACAAACAAAATGCGCTTGCCGTCTTAGTATCTGTGAACTTCTTACTAATATGAAGAAAAACTCAGCGATACTTTCTACTTGTCAAACAGACATGAGAAATATATTTAGCTATATAAACCTTGAAGTGCCCGCTTTTAAGTATTTACGCTTTGCTTATTTGACATTAATGCATTAAATAAGTCACGTTGGAATATAAATCATAGCACGTTTCAGAAGATTAACAAAACGCAAGTTGCAGTCCGGAAAAAACGGTGTAGCAAATTATTTGTGCGGACCCCCCGGCTTTGCGTCACGGACCCCAGTTTGAAAGCCCCCGTGTTAAGTGAATGGTTTATCAGCCTGCTTTCTCTTTCAATCGAAACCCTGAAATAATGTGGGAAGCCATTTCCAGATTTCCGGAACCCCATTCTGAAGTTCACAAAAACTTGTATGTGAGTGAGGCACCATACTGATAAAGGTTCTGCTCTTCCTCCTCAGGTGTGTTTTAGGGAACACTACTATTCTTGCAGAGTTTGCTAGTGAAGAGGAAATTAATCGTTTCTTTGCACAAGGTCAGTCAATGACTGCCTCTCCCAGCTGGCAGACGTTGGGCTCTTCTCAGAACCGGATCGGATCCATCGAGGGTTCCCACCCCTTCCCAAACCGCACTGATCCAAATCACTGGAACGGCAGCGGAGACCTGCACGGCTCGTCTCTCTGGGGCGTTCCCAATTACTCCACGAGCCTGTGGGGCAGCCCCAGTGGTGGTGAGGGGGGGAGAATCAACAGTCCCTCCCCCATCAGCTCCTTCCTTCCGGAGTCCATGTAGTGCATCTTTCACCTTCTGACTTAAAAAGAAAAAAAATGACAAAAAGCAAACATACAAACAAACCCGTGACCTCAATGTGGAAATAGTTAATCATAATCATATGACCATATTATATATATATTATATGAAAAAAAATCAAATGGCACTAGTTAGACTTCCTTCACTTACAAAAAGAAAAAAAAAAAAAACAATGCGGGGTCACCCTGTGGAAACAAGTTACGTTTTTTTCTGCACATATGTCCACTTTGTTTTAGCCCAAAACATATCAGTTTGAATACTTGAATTATGCAGGCCAATTCTATAATGTGAAAGGATGTATTTACACTTCCAGGTAGTGCTCTTCATACAGAAAAAAGCTTCAGTTGAGCTCATCTGTTTATTCATCATGTTTATTTGAATTCCAATTCTTTTTGTTTTGTTTTTATTATTTGCATTTTGTTTGCTGACAATGGAGTTTGAGCTTTTTAAACTTTGCACTGAATGTGGTTTTTCTCAGTATAATCTGCAATATGGAGGGAGCCGACAGTTCCAGTGTAGTTGTTTACTCAAGGATGTTCTTAAAGTGTGCGCTCTACTATGCCTTGATGTACGCCTACCTTATTGTAGTATTGTGGAGTTCGAGATCAAGATATAGATGCTGACTTGGGATTATTTGATGATATTACAGAAATAAGTATTGCACCAATTTTGTTTTAAAACTAAAGAATTTAGCTCTGCAGTCTAAAAAACTGTAGCCACAGCTGTGACTTGCAAACCCGACCTGCAAGCCAGGGGGAACAGCACTTTCTAAATAGGCTTTCAATTTTGTTTTGGAGGCATCACATTGTGCCCTCTTGTTTACAAAACGTTTTGAGGGGGAAAGTATGGTCATGCTTCCTTTTATTTTAAATGGCGAAAAAAAAATGCATAAAGAATAAAAAAAATAATCTTACAAAAATTATTAAAAAAACAAAAAAAAACAAAAAAATCAAAACACAAAAAAAAATCTTGAGGATGAAGACATACAAAAAAATAAAAAACTTTAAAAAAATCTTGAGGATGAAGACGAAGCTTTTTATCTCTGGGAATACTGATCAGTGTTTGGCCATGTCATTGGTTATTTTATCTATTCCTCTTGTCTGCTAAATAACCAGCATGGTTCTCAGGAAATATAGCCAGTTTTCCCCCCATAGAAACTCCTTGTAGGAAAATCCAACTTTTAGCACTGAAACTACTTATAGCTCTGTAAGTTTTTCTCTGCCAAATAACTGCTTTAAGCTGGAGACATTCTACATACTGCTTTTCGAATATGCTGTCTTTTTATTAATGAGTGGATATGGTTTGCTGAATCACTATCTAGTCCTTTTTCCCACTGAGTGTCTCAATGTTTTTCGCTTTGTGACTGTCGAAGTAACTGTCAAATGTCATAAGAAAAAGCAGAAATCTGTAACTATGCACACTGTAGCCAATGACTCGGCCTACAGAATCGCTTTTTCTTTGTCTGAAGTAATGTTTTATGTTTCAGTAATTTGCATATACATTGTTTGATATATATATATATCATCATCATCATTATTTTATCAAAAACAAATTTTCCCCTTAGCGCCAGAGCTGGTGTTAAAGAAAATCTTGTTTGGTTATTTTAACAGTGCAAAAGTCGTCCACATTTCATTGCCTTGATTCAAATTGTGTCCGAAGATGCAACAAGTCAAGTGGCTTTTAACTGTTTACAAATAGAAAATGATTGTAATGTGTACAGTTTGGTTGTGTTAATCTGAAGTTCCTTACAATATTAATAAATCAATGTTTTGGCTGCTCATTACCATTTTATTTTAAAAAAAATTTAAAATTATTTTGTTCTCCCCCTTCCCCTCCCCTTTTTTCCCCCTTCCTCAAAGCTGGTTTGTCATTGAAAATGGCTTGCCTCTGTACTTGTGGCCAAGGAAGGCTGGATTAGAGGTGAATGTAATCTATTGCTGGTAGTTTAAATAATGTGCGTAGATTTACAGACTATTTACCTTTTATCGTACTATATTTTAGGTGCACAATTTATGAGACGCTTCAAGAGCGAGAGGGAGAGAAAGATGTCAGCATTAGGCTAAGCCATGGACCTTAATATGCGTTTAAGCTGTTTACGTTTTTTCTCCATTATGTTTTATTTGAGAAGTAGAACTTGCGTGCGTGGTGTTAACTTATCCATATTTAATGATTCGTCGTACAAAACCCTGAGTATTACCCTCACTTTATGGTTGCGTGCCAGTATTGAACCATTTTAAGCAACTGCTTTACCAAATATACTTCAATCAAAGGATTTGTTTACTTAATTCCAGACCTGGCTTATCTTTGTTTGTTGGACAAATTTTAAGTGGAACATTGGAGAGAACTACACAACGAAAGCCGAAAATTAGTGTTTGGAATTGCACTTGGTGTACATAATGAACTAGAAAAGCTTGTACTGTATTTGTGTTCTGGAGGCAGAGTGTAGCTTTTGGAGACTGGACGGCATGGACGGAGGACTTTGCCTTTTGTTTGTCTTTTTATTCTTCGTGTACATTGACTAGACTCTTAAAGCGTGCGTTTGTGCCTGTGTGCTTGTGTGGTCTGCTCCATTCCTGCGCATCAGGAGCCCAAGTATTCTCCTCTTGTTTAGGGGGAGTATAAATGCAGGTATCGCAGATGGTTTTGCCGTGACTTTGTTTACTCCCTCGATGTGGATCGCTCAGTCTTTTGTGCTTTAGTTACATGTTCGTATGCGTCTGGGGTAGCGTTAGTCCTTTCTGGGAGTGCTGCGCTGAGCTTTACCAATGGTTCTGAATGGGTTCTTCCCTGCCGTCTTAGCAAACGTGCTAGTTTCCTCGTTCTTCGTGGCTTTTTACTTTCGGGAAGCGTAGGGAAAAGCCATTGGCACCCAGTTTATTTACTGAGCTTTACCAATGGTTCTGAATGGGTTCTTCCCTGCCGTCTTGGCAAACGTGCTAGTTTCCCCGTTCTTCGTGGCTTTTTACTTTCGGGAAGCGTAGGGAAAAGCCATTGGCACCCAGTTTATTTTTTTCGCTTTTTTTTTTGTCCCCCTCCCTGCTTTATTTTGTTTTATGTATGTGCAGCTTTTTGGTGTTAGACAGAACTGTCATGCTGAGACATTTTGATAATTCACTGTCATGCCAAATTATCAAGCAGGGGGAGGAAAGGGATTTCTTCTTTTGTAAAAGCTGGACAATGTATATGCTTCAAATGTCACTTGCAAAATGGATGTTTTGAGGATATTCATGAGCAATGTACAATCCCCATTTTTATAGCCAGGTTGAACGTAGAGGAAACGAATAAGTGACTTGGCCTGACATTCTACTTTTGTACTGAAAATGTCATTCTTTTCTGATTTATCCTGTGAGCAAATATAACCTTGTCTTTTAAATGGTTCCTACTGTTGAACAATGTGCTAAGGCAATTGACTTAAACTGTGAGTATTGCTGTCGTGTCATTATAAACCCGAAAAGCTTTAGTAAAACCAGCACAAGAAACGGATGAACGAGAGTTTAAATCGAAACTTCCACCATGGGGAAATTCTAAGAGAGTCTATGCAGTGTAGGGTGAGGCTTCCATGTCTGTGTCTTCGCTTACTAAAAATCCTGGCCGCGGTAGTGGCGGGATTTAAAAATACGATTCCTGTAATGTGCCATGATTGAAATTTTCTTTAACTTTTTGTCACAAATAATTGGCCAGTTGTAGCAAATGAGGGGTTGCATTAACATTTCCTTTTTCACAGCGCTCCTCACAGAACGGGCTGTGGAATAGCAAATTCTCAACTCACACATTTCTTCTAGTGGTCTTTGCTCACATGTAACATATGCACACTGCTTTGGTAGACTGTTTGAAAATTAATTGAAATAAACATCAATAAGATAACTTAAATGAGCAGGAAGTTCTTTTCAGCGTCTTCCTGGGGTCATCTTAGAATTTTAACTTGGGGAACTGCACTTTTTGAAGGACAATCCTTATTTGTATTGGTAACCGTTGACCAGGTTTAGTCTAGTAATACATGGTAGAAACTCAAATGTGTAGTGATGAATGTTTCCTGTAATGCTGTTTTTTTCTTTTCTTTTTTCTTTTTTCTTTTTGTTGCTTGGTTTTCAATTTTAGTACCCTTAAGTGCATATGTAACGAGGTAGTTGAGGTAATAGAGTAGTTTTTAGGTCTTTTGTTGGCTGTACTTGTAGACTGATAATAACTGTTTGTAAAGTCCTGATCTTGATATCGGAATACAAAGCTGTATAACTTGGGTACAACCCGCAATAAAGCCTAACAGTGATATGGTGTGCAATGGTGGGTTTTTTTTTTCTTTAAAATATTTTACTGCAAGTGCAATTGGAAATGTAGTTGTTAAATTACCAAGAATCTCATCACAATTTTACATGGAGTACACCCAACTAATTTGCTTAGTATATGGAAATGTTTGAGAATCTCATTTTGATTACCATAAATGTTTTACCTACTGGTATGTAGAGTACTTCTACATACAAAAACAAACGGTGCTTTTAAAAGAGGTTTAAAATGTTTGTTTACATCACAAAGACTCATACAGTGGCTATAAAAAGTTTTATTCTACATGAATGTGGGATCATTAAAATGGCTTTAGTTCAGTAATCCTGCCATTATTGGTCATTGCAGAATAAATCATGGGTGACATACTTTCAAATGTGGTATTTTTATAATGTTATTATAAACAAACTTTTGTGAGATGCTACATGCTGATGCCATTATATAATTTAAGACCAGTGAAATATTAAGTGACCTAATACACCTTCAAAGCCGCAGTATAATTTCTGTGCCAGCAGCAGCACCAAATGAATTTCCAAAAAAATACTCTTCAAATAGGTTTGAGTGTTTTCACAGTCATGGAAAACCTAAAAAATGTATTTGAATAGTTTCAATTTAGTTATGATATAAAAAAAATTGTTGGACAAACTGGTTCACAAATCAGTCTAAATTAATCTTTAGTGAATCAGCCTGAATTTTTAAAACCTTTATCCAGTGAGCATAAGCTAACAGTCGTGGAAACATTAAAAATTGTGGGAAATCTGCCTCAGTATGTCAGGCTCCCCAACGAGGTTTTGAAAGCTCCACACATTTTAAAATAGTCCTACGATTTACTTATACTTATGCATTTTAAACTGGTGAAAGGATGCAGTATTTCGATGACGATATTGCACAGCAGTGTTAAAGGGATAGTTCACCCAAAAATGAAAATGTGATGTTTATCTGCTTTACCCCCAGGGCATCCAAGATGTAGGTGACTGTTTCTTCAGTTTTTCTACTTTTCAAATGTATTATGTCTTTGAGATTTCAAATGTATTACGGCTTTGAGAGTAAAAGACAACATACACAAACAAAACCAAATTAAACCCTGCGGTGAGTGACGATACATTGATGTGTAAAGACATGAGACGATCGGTCTGTGCAAGAAACTGAACAGTATTTATATTGTTTTTTTACCTCTGATTCACGCAATGTCTGAACTGTCCTGAGCGGCGGCACGTCCTCGACAGCCGGCGAGTGACGCGTCGTCTTTTTGCTTTACGGTGGATCGCAGACTTAGTGCATTACCGCCACCTATCTCTCAAATGGACCATTGACACTATCTACAATCTCAATTAGGGGTGTCAAAGGTCCATTTGAGAGATAGGTGGCGGTAATGCACTTAAGTCTTATAAAGCAAGAAGAATAAGAAGACGCGTCACGCGCCAGCTGTCGAGGACACGCTCAGGACAGTTCAGACATTGCAGTGCATCAGAGGTAAAAATATAAATACTGTTCAGTTTCTTGCACAGACCGATCGTTTCGTGTCTTTACACATAAATGTATCGTCACGAGCCGCAGGGTTTAATTTGGTTTTGCTTGTGTATGTTTTATTTACTCTCACAGCCATGATTCCCATTCACTTCCATTATAAGACTGACAGACTGCAACGGTTTGAGTTAAAAATCTTCGTTTGTGTTCTACTGAAGAAACAAAGTCACCTACATCTTGGATGCCCTGGGGGTAAGCAGATAAACATCAAATTTTCATTTTTGGGTGAACTATCCTTTTAAGTTCTTGCACTGACCTTGAATTTAAGTTTCAGTAGCACTCCCCATACACTAGAGGGATCGCAGTGAGGCTTCACTTGGGGCATGACAAACCAAAGAATTACAATTTAGTCTTGGCTTTATTTTCAGCTCAAATTCCCAAGAGTTTATAGTGACATTTTCATTAAATACAACGGTACACGACAAGGCAGTTGACTCCATAAGCAAGAGACAGAAGAAAATGGTATGACAGAAACTGGACACTATGTGGATGCAGCCGAACCACATCCATATTTTTTAATACAGAGTCAATCCTCCGTACCTGCAAAAAAAAGAAAAGAAAGGTGAGATTAAGATAAAATTACCAAGCATGCAAAGGTAACCTACAATCCAAGCATTGGCTTAAAAGACAGGATGCACATACCATATAACTTGCTTCTATTCATACACGTCTTTTTTATCTGAAATGAACTGTACGATCTCTGCAGGAGTCATAAGCTTCTCGGCCTCTGCATCTGGGATCTCAAATCCTGTGGATTGAACGCCACAATTCAAATGAAATGTTTAGAAGGTATATCACAGTTGTCAAATGCTTTAATGGTACAGGAACAAACCCATACTAACCAAACTCATCTTCCATAGCCATTATAATCTCCACCTGGTCCAAGCTATCCAGCCCCAGATCTTTCATGAAATGAGACGATGTTTGCAGCTTGAGGGAAAAAGTTTCAGAGATTGATGCTAGGAGTATGTATTCTACAATATCTCAATGTAAACAAAGCAGCTTGTCTAACTACAAAAAACTACATTTGTTTAATAACTACATTAGTTAACAAACTAACACTAAAAATACTTCTAAAGCATTTATTAATCTTACTTCATTTCAACATTTATACTTAATATATTATGAAAATAAGAAGTCGTATCTGTTAATTTAATGGACCCGAGCGAACATGAACAATGAACAGTTGTATTTTTTATTAAGGTTCACAAAAAGGAATAAATACTGTAACAAATGTAATGCTCATTTTTAGAGTTAATGCATGAACTATTGGAAAATTGTTGTAAAGTGTTACACCAAAGAAATGTATTCAAATATGGTGGGTAGGCAACAGGCATGCAGTTTCCAGGTAACTCAGAAATTGCACATCATTGTCCTTTAAATTTCGGTATTTGAAGATTATCATATACAAAACGACCTATGAATGTTACAGTACAGAGGGGAAGTATGAAGTATCTCTTACCTTCTCTGGACTGATCTTGTCATACAGTTTAAGGACGTACATGACACGCTCTTTGATGTTCTCTAAAGTGAGGGGTGGAAGATCCCCATAGTGCCGACACTGATGAACAGACAGGCCTGAAATCTAGAGGCATCCAAACATTTACATTTATTCACTTAGCAGATGCTTTATCCAAAATGACTTGCAGATGAGGAGAGGAACATAAGCAATTCATCCCAGAGCCAACTATATTCACTGCAGTGCACACAATACCAGCTTTATTAGAAGAAAGGTAATTAGGGAATAAACATAAGCTCTGCCAAATGAAGAGATAATTCACCCAAAATTGTCTTTATTATTATTTTTTTCCCCTCAGTAACAAACGACAGATGTTGGACAGAATGTTAGAGGCTGGTGGATTCTGTCACCGTTCGGTTGCACCTTTCCATACAGTCAAATGAAGTGGCTGTCATTCTGCCCAACATCTTTTGTGTTCCACAGAGGGACTTGGAACGTCAGGATGACAGAATTATTATTAAAGTGAACTATCACTTAATAGCTACAATAAAAGACGCAAAGAGCAGCAGCCGTGAAGATACACACATAGTATGTATAAACTATTAGCGTGACTGATCAGCTATTTAAAGTCTCGCACCTTGAAAACAGTAATAACTGATGTGGATGGTGTATGTTGTGAATGCACACTAAGTTACTTTAACTTTGTATGGCTCCCAGCTGTCACGCACGAATAGATTTGTCGGAAAGACACAGGTAGGTCACCGAGTAATCCAGCACTAGTAGGCCACACAGACAAACATCCCCCTCTGCAGAAAGCTCACCCGCACTGGTTGAGTCCACCTCGTCCGCTGGCTGCATGACAGGACAGAGAGCGGTCGCTGCTTTGAGGCGAGGGGCGCGCAGGCGGATCTGGTGAGCACGCTGCCATGATTTAACCTTGCAGCGGCGCGAGCGACGGAGCGCACACAGTATGCAAGCGCACGAGACGCCATGTCTGTGAATTTCTATCCCACAATTCACTGCGACAAACTGGACATAAGTTTGACATGCGCGTGCGCACTTTATCAGGGCAGGTCCGGTTGTTTTCGGCGAATAGTTTCTTTTGAACAGTTCGTTCAAAACTGAAGGCATCAAATTGATTGAAAAGATCCGACTTAAACGAATGGTTCATTCACGAATCATGCATTGCTATTAAAAGAACGTTTTTGCGAGTCGGTTCTTTCGAACAGCTCGTTTCAAAGAATCGGCTTGAAAATGGAACCGAATAAGAGTGAACAAATCCAATTCATTGAAAAGATCCGACTCAAAAGAACGATTATTTCACAAATCAGAATTAGAGAAACGTTTAACTATTTTACTCTTTTATCATTTATATTATTTCTTAAGTTATATTTAACTGATTCCTTTTGAATTAGACCATTTAATTATTAGACATTTAATAAGACCATTTGGAATACTCGTGCAAAATAGTTGAAATAATGAGGCTTTTATTTTGAAACGATTAATTTATATCTGCCAGTTACGCATGGGATCTTACAGAAATGGTCTTTCAACGTACATTTATCTAATCTACGCTGTTAGCTAGAAACAAAAAGCAGTCAATGTAATAACTTTTTGCACGACCATTTAATAAACTGTGTGCGATCTAATGCTTCCTCTAAAGGAGAAGGTTTGCTCTGCGCAGAGGAAAGATAAACAGAAGACTGGACGTAAATAATCCACAACCAGCATGCTGCACAAAATCAGGGGTCAATAACAATACAAGTACAGCGGTAACAAGACAGCATGTGCCTACTGGGCCTTTAATAGTCAGTCTTTATTAGTCATTATATATTACTTAAATGTGTTTCAAATACTGTCACAAAACTTTTTGATGTGCCACACAGAATAACACTGGTCTTGCTTTGCACGAGAAGGGGAGCATGGAGCCTGCGAGCCTGGAGAACTTGTGTGTTTTGTACCACAGCGCAAACTATATAGTTGTCAACAAACACTGGGATATTCGTATTGACAGCAAGATGTGGTATGAGAAACAGACTGTCCAGAGTCAGCTGAAGCATCGCTTCCCGGAGCTTGCAGATCCTGGCACCTGTACGGCTTCAGGTCTTTTTCTCAGGTTTTCTGTTACTCTGCTATGTGCTGAGACAAACAATTATTTCAAGAAGCACATGCATCTTATCAGTAATTCATTCGTATGTATTCTGATATTCTGCAGGTTTTGCCATCAACTGGATTTCTCTACCAGTGGTGCTTTGTGTGTAGCACTGAACAAGGCAGCAGCAGGGCATGCATACCGCTGTTTTAAGGACAGACTTGTTACCAAAGCTTATCTCGCTCTGGTACTGTAAAATTGAGACATTCATTGGATGAATAAAAGGTTTTTCATAATAATATAGGCCATTTATATTTCCTGTGCAGGTCCGTGGCACTGTTGCTGAGGAGAAAATGACCCTGGACTTTGCGATCGGCAAGAACACAACAGAGGGCAAAACCCACATGAAGGAACAGATGGTCAGAATCTCTTTTGCTGTAAATTAAACTCAAATGTTAAAAATAGTTCACCAAGAAATGAAATTTGCTGACAATTTACTCACCCTCAGGCCATTTGGAAAAATTTTGCATTACATGACTTGCTCACCAGTGGATCCTCTGCAGTGAATGGGTGCCGTCAGAATGAGAGTCCAAACAGCTGATAAAAATGTCACAATAATCCACAGAACTCCAGCCCATCAATTAATGTCTTGTGAAGTGAAAAGCTTTGTAAGCAACAAATCCATTATTAAGGCGGTTTAACTTTAAACAGTCACTTCTGGCCAAAATAATCCATAATAATGCTTCCTTCAGTGGAAAAAGTGAATCCCCTATTCTTCTCTCAACGTCAATAATCCACTGACATATTTGTTTAAAACTGTTCTGGACTGTTTTTGCACGTAAACAGTGCTTGATCTGTGTATATTGCTCTCCTGATTCAGACATACATTTTTTCCACTGGAGAAAGCAATATTATGGCTAGAGGACTCATATTTTAGCTGGAAGATAAAAATGTCTTAATCATAAATTTGTTTCTTACAAACACATAGCTTTTCATTCCACAAGATGTTAATTGATGGACTGGAATCACTTTTTATCAGCTGTTTGGACTCTCATTCTGACGGCACCCATTCACTGCAGAGGATCAAGAGATATAATGCTATTATAATATTATTTTATAATTGCTGTCACGCACGAATAGATTTGTCGGAAAGACACAGGTAGGTCACCGAGTAATCCAGCACTAGTAGGCCACACAGACAAACATCCCCCTCTGCAGAAAGCTCACCCGCACTGGTTGAGTCCACCTCGTCCGCTGGCTGCATGACAGGACAGAGAGCGGTCGCTGCTTTGAGGCGAGGGGCGCGCAGGCGGATCTGGTGAGCACGCTGCCATGATTTAACCTTGCAGCGGCGCGAGCGACGGAGCGCACACAGTATGCAAGCGCACGAGACGCCATGTCTGTGAATTTCTATCCCACAATTCACTGCGACAAACTGGACATAAGTTTGACATGCGCGTGCGCACTTTATCAGGGCAGGTCCGGTTGTTTTCGGCGAATAGTTTCTTTTGAACAGTTCGTTCAAAACTGAAGGCATCAAATTGATTGAAAAGATCCGACTTAAACGAATGGTTCATTCACGAATCATGCATTGCTATTAAAAGAACGTTTTTGCGAGTCGGTTCTTTCGAACAGCTCGTTTCAAAGAATCGGCTTGAAAATGGAACCGAATAAGAGTGAACAAATCCAATTCATTGAAAAGATCCGACTCAAAAGAACGATTATTTCACAAATCAGAATTAGAGAAACGTTTAACTATTTTACTCTTTTATCATTTATATTATTTCTTAAGTTATATTTAACTGATTCCTTTTGAATTAGACCATTTAATTATTAGACATTTAATAAGACCATTTGGAATACTCGTGCAAAATAGTTGAAATAATGAGGCTTTTATTTTGAAACGATTAATTTATATCTGCCAGTTACGCATGGGATCTTACAGAAATGGTCTTTCAACGTACATTTATCTAATCTACGCTGTTAGCTAGAAACAAAAAGCAGTCAATGTAATAACTTTTTGCACGACCATTTAATAAACTGTGTGCGATCTAATGCTTCCTCTAAAGGAGAAGGTTTGCTCTGCGCAGAGGAAAGATAAACAGAAGACTGGACGTAAATAATCCACAACCAGCATGCTGCACAAAATCAGGGGTCAATAACAATACAAGTACAGCGGTAACAAGACAGCATGTGCCTACTGGGCCTTTAATAGTCAGTCTTTATTAGTCATTATATATTACTTAAATGTGTTTCAAATACTGTCACAAAACTTTTTGATGTGCCACACAGAATAACACTGGTCTTGCTTTGCACGAGAAGGGAAGCATGGAGCCTGCGAGCCTGGAGAACTTGTGTGTTTTGTACCACAGTGCAAACTATATAGTTGTCAACAAACACTGGGATATCCGTATCGACAGCAAAATGTGGTATGAGAAACAGACTGTCCAGAGTCAGCTGAAGCATCGCTTCCCGGAGCTTGCAGATCCTGGCACCTGTACGGCTTCAGGTCTTTTTCTCAGGTTTTCTGTTACTCTGCTATGTGCTGAGACAAACAATTATTTCAAGAAGCACATGCATCTTATCAGTAATTCATTCGTATGTATTCTGATATTCTGCAGGTTTTGCCATCAACTGGATTTCTCTACCAGTGGTGCTTTGTGTGTAGCACTGAACAAGGCAGCAGCAGGGCATGCATACCGCTGTTTTAAGGACAGACTTGTTACCAAAGCTTATCTCGCTCTGGTACTGTAAAATTCAGACATTCATTGGATGAATAAAAGGTTTTTCATAATAATATAGGCCATTTATATTTCCTGTGCAGGTCCGTGGCACTGTTGCTGAGGAGAAAATGACCCTGGACTTTGCGATCGGCAAGAACACAACAGAGGGCAAAACCCACATGAAGGAACAGATGGTCAGAATCTCTTTTGCTGTAAATTAAACTCAAATGTTAAAAATAGTTCACCAAGAAATGAAATTTGCTGACAATTTACTCACCCTCAGGCCATTTGGAAAAATTTTGCATTACATGACTTGCTCACCAGTGGATCCTCTGCAGTGAATGGGTGCCGTCAGAATGAGAGTCCAAACAGCTGATAAAAATGTCACAATAATCCACAGAACTCCAGCCCATCAATTAATGTCTTGTGAAGTGAAAAGCTTTGTAAGCAACAAATCCATTATTAAGGCGGTTTAACTTTAAACAGTCACTTCTGGCCAAAATAATCCATAATAATGCTTCCTTCAGTGGAAAAAGTGAATCCCCTATTCTTCTCTCAACGTCAATAATCCACTGACATATTTGTTTAAAACTGTTCTGGACTGTTTTTGCACGTAAACAGTGCTTGATCTGTGTATATTGCTCTCCTGATTCAGACATACATTTTTTCCACTGGAGAAAGCAATATTATGGCTAGAGGACTCATATTTTAGCTGGAAGATAAAAATGTCTTAATCATAAATTTGTTTCTTACAAACACATAGCTTTTCATTCCACAAGATGTTAATTGATGGACTGGAATCACTTTTTATCAGCTGTTTGGACTCTCATTCTGACGGCACCCATTCACTGCAGAGGATCAAGAGATATAATGCTATTATATTATAATATTATTTTATAATTTGTCCAATTCTGTTCCGATGAAGAAACAAACTCATCTACATCTTGTATAGCCTAAGGGTGAGTACGTTTTCATTTTTGGATGTACTGTTAGAAACTAATAGAAATGCATTCATGCATTGATTTCATATTGTGTGCGGTAGGTTGTGAGAATCCTAAGCCCTGCCAAACAGAGCTGACAGTTTTAGAGCATGGAGAATATGATGGAGATCCAGTCACAAAAGTGCTTCTGCAGCCTCTGACAGGTACAGTATAATCAACAATGCAGACAAAATATAGATGAAACACAATGTCAAATGGAAAAAGTCTAAGTATCCATAATCCTGTAGGACGGACGCACCAGCTCCAAGAGTTCACTGCAGTGCCATTGGTCACCCCATAGTGGGAGACTACACTTACAGTCTACGCACAGACAATGCTCCGTATCGCATGATGCTGCATGCCTACTTCTTGCACATCCCACTAGAGAATGAACCCATCCACGTCACAGCCCCAGATCCCTTTGTACCCACCCTCGACTCCAAATGGGCACAAAGATGTGTGAATGTTCTGGAGGACCTACTGAAGAATATTTTGACAAAACCACAAACTGAAATCCAAGAAAATCCAGAGCTAGTGCACAGGAGGAGCAGCCCAGTGGAGAGTGAGGAGCAACAGGCACAGTGTCAGCAGTGGTTATGTGAATGGAGTCTGGACTGAGGAACCCTTACGCTGTTTTACCAGTCCAATACTGAAGCTACACTGCAGTGTCCCCAGCTCCATAGAGTACCCTTTTCTTTAAATGGTAGTGGGTAGCCAGCACTGCTCAATAAAAGTATAGAGTAAGAACAGAAGGCATAAAGGAGTTTTGGCTGATCTTTGTATGAAGGAGAGCACTGTGTGCCATTGTGTACATTATAGAGACCCCACACGCTTTTGTCAATTTACACTACCATTCAAAAGTTTGGGGTCGGTAAGATATACTTTTTTTTTTTTTTTTAAAGAAAGTCAATTGCTTACCAAGCCTGCTTTTATACAATCCAAAATACAGTAAAAATGGTAATGTTGTGAAAAATTCTTACAGTTTTAAAGAACTGTTTTCCATTTGAATACATTTTAAAGTGTAATTAATTTCTGAATACATAAATTTATTGCTGAATAAAAATTAATTAAAAAAAAAAATCATACTGACCCTGAACATTTGAACAGTAGTATACCTAATTTGAACAAAAAATATCAAAAGAAAAGGAATAGCATGTCATTAGAGTGCAGAGAGGAAGAACTTTTTAAAAATCCTCCTCCCAATTAAGTATCTTTACCTTTCAAAAGCAAGTATGCTATGTGTAGTGGTATTGTTCATTGTATGAATGCATAACTATAGTTTTAGCTTTTGTGCTTTTAAAGCAATAGAGATTTTAAATATTTTTTATGATTTATTTTTCATCTATTTATTATTACTTTTTTGTTTTAATCAGTTTTTGTTGCAGTCTAGAAGGGGCCAAGACTCACCATTTTTTCCACTACATAAACAGGCAAGTTACAGTATGAAAGGTCTTCTTGATTTCTGTTCTTAAACTATGTGTGAAGCATGTTTGTAGAAATTCATTGCTTCATATAGACTGAACAATCCCTACGTCAAAAACTAAAACTGTTGCTTAAAGGGATAGTTCACCCAAAAGTAAAAATTGTTACCCCCAGGGCTTCCAAGATGTAGGTGACTTTGTTTCTTCAGTAGAACACAAACAAAGATTTTTAACTCAAACCGTTGCAGTCTGTCAGTCATATAATGGAGGTGAATGGGAATCACGGCTTTGAGAGTCAAAAAAACATACACAAACAAAACCAAATTAAACCCTGCGGCTCGTGACGATACATTGATGTGTAAAGACACGAAACGATCGGTCTGTGCAAGAAACTGAACAGTATTTATATAGTTTTTTACCTCTGATTCACGCAAAGTCCGAACTGTTCTGAGCGGCGGCACGTCCTTCTGAGCGTGTTCTAAACAGCCGGCGCGTGAGGCGGCTTCTTCTTCTTGCTTTACGGCTAGGGATGTAACGATTTACTCAACTCACGATTCGATTCGATTCACGATTTTATTTTTTACAAAATGAGATTTAAGACAAATTATAAATTAAATGTGTCCTTTTATTATTGCTTGGACAAAATGCTGCACGTTTCTTTGTGAAATTTAAATATAACACTATAATAATATACTAATATAGCACTTGCATATTATTGCTTTTTTGTTGGTTTTGATTGCTTCTATTGTCCTCATTTGTAAGTCGCTTTGGATAAAAGCATCTGCTAAATGACAAAATTTAAATATAATGTAAATGTAAATAACAAAACTAAATTGAAATTTTAAAACAAGCCCCAAATCAAATAAATAAGTAACACAAATAAAACTCTGGAATGGCAGTCCTTCTCTGATGATGTCAGTTTGACGGCTTGGGCAGAATATCCTTTTAAACACACCCCTCCAACCGTTAGATTGCTATGAGTGAGAGACAGAGAGTAGGAGCGACAAAATAAAACCATGCTCTCTATTCAATATTCCGTTTCAGCTGGAAATACGTCACTACACTGAAATAAAATCGGCAGCAACTTCCGGTTCACGCGGACTTTAAGCAAATTAAATTCAAGTAATTGAACGAGTCCATCTACTGAGTATTTTTTGCATGTCATCCTGTTTCCATACGCTGTTAGATAGTATTTGTAAGACATTTACTATTGTTCAGCAAATGTTCACAGGCAAAATCCATTTAAATAGGAATTCACGTGATCGAGATTTTCAGCTGAGGATGAAAAATGTCTTCATGCAGATTCACACATGGATTCACCGTTTTGACCAACACAAAGTTGCTTGATTTGAATGTGAGCTATGCTTCATACGTTGCTACACTATTAACAATGATCCTTTTTTGCCCACCAAAATTTCACTAATGTGACTGCACCTTACAAAAGGAGCGCGTTGTTTGGTAAAAGCCCCCAAAACCATCATTTAAAACGAGTCAGTATAGACACTTTTTTTTTTTCTTTACAAAAAAAGCATTTAATTATTACCATCTGTAATCTGTCTATACAAACAGAAAATGTTTAGTGTTGCAGAAATGGTAAAGTTTTATAAATAAAGGCCCTTCAGTCTAACAGCTAATCACTGTGTTGTGATATTTTTCTCAGCCACGCCAATAGGACTGCAATGTACACTGAGATTATATGACACATTAACAGAAATCTAAAAATACTGGGGAAAAAATTTGGTGTTCTATTTTATCATTTCATTTTCTATGTTAACATTGCCATGATAGCAAGGGATTTTTACTGCAAGTGGATACAACTGTGAACAAAACTGACTGTGAAAAAAAGGTATTTCTTTGTTGTTCGAGATTTACAACTGTAACTTAGAGCTAAAGAGATGATTGGGGAATATTAGTCCACATTGGTTCCTTTGGTCCCAGAATGAAAGTGAGCAAGACCCAAACTAAAGTTCAGTCCTAGATCTGGCTGAGAGGGAGGAATTTCTGGTAGTAACTCTTGGTAACGTCTATCATCAGTTCCTGTGTACATTCAGGGAGCTCTCCTGAAAATAGACCTGAAATATAGAATAACAAAAAAAGCTTAGGCTCTGTTTATATGCACAGAGTGACATTAATTCAAAAAACACTTTACTACAAAATATACAACACTTACAGTAAATAAATAAAATAATATATCTGAAGGTGCCAACCTGGACAGCCAGAGAATACTGTAAACGGAGGAACCACTGTCTCTGGGGGAAGGACAGTATTATCCAGTATCTTACAGCAGTCCTTCAAGACACAGCGCCGACCCTAAAAAAAACATGCATCGCAATTAAGCACCACCAGGTAAAAATGTTGGATAATGGGAGGATAGAGACAAAGGAGCTACTTACAATAACACAGTTCTTGCCAATGTGGACGTATGATCCTATCTGTGCAGCATTGACAACACAGTCCTCCTCTATGAACACATGATCCCCAATATGCAAGGGGAAGAAAGCCACGCTGATGTACACAGCACAAGAAAAGTTCAATCATACAAACAGTATCAGTGAGAAAACAGATGTTTTACATTAAACCAGCAGCACTGCTCACCCTTTGCTGAATTTCTTGAACGGAGGTCTGATCACACTACGACTTTTAATGACACAGTGGCGCCCAACTCTGACATTAGCGAGATCTCCTCTGATGATACAGTCATTCATCACGATGGTCTGAAAAAAGAGGCCATTTCACATAGTTATCACATAGCTGGGGAAAAGAACAAGACGAAATAAACAAGAGAAAACTCACTTTTCCATTGAGAACAATGTTTTGACTGCCACAAAGAACTGATTGTCTGCTGACTTTGTTGCCTGATGCCTAGAGAAATCAAATGTGAACGTTGCCATCACATGACGGTCCAGCTCTGGGCTGCTGTGAGCATTTAATAAACACCGTGTGCAAAAGATGCAGACGTTTACTGACTAGTTCAAGTTATGACAAACTAACACTTGTGCTGGAGAATCATCGTTGTTTATAATACTGGTCCTCATTTGTGAGTCGCTTTGGATAAAAGCGTCTGCTAAATGACCAAATGTAAATAATACAATACACATTCGGTTTGCAGAGACATACTAGTCGGGTCAGATAATTCTCAATTTATTACTAGCAACCGCTTGATTTCAGCTGACGGATATTATCGATTTTATTAACATACCGTCTCGATGTATTCAGCCTTGTTGTATAATATTTCACACAGCTCCATCTCTGCACAATTATTGTTGTTTTGCTGGCGAACCACTTCAGACGACCAGCAGCTGTCAACCGCTCCCTCGCAATTTCCGCTTCCGGTTAGTACCAAGACGACATCACTTGCAGAACATAGTACAAAATGGGAATAAAAAATTAAAAAAATTATATAACGTCATTGCATATACACAAATATTTTAACGAAAAAAATCATATAAAATATGTTTTATATGTAATATGCATGATAGCAACAAACAAGTCTCCGTTCATTTATCATTTCAGTTAATTTATCATTTTTTATTTGAATGTGTATTCGTTTTATGCTTTGGATTTGAATGTTTTACGAATCAAATTTGATTTATGCATGAAGCTGATGTTATTTTTTTACATGCAAAATTGTGTAACCTGCTAAACCCTCTGTAACCGCATGATGGCGCTGCTGTATCGTTTCTCTGTCCCGCAGTACGGAGGCGGTATTATTTCGAAACGTGCTTCATTAATCCACAGAGCTCTGCGCTCGGGGGCTCAAATCTCACCCACAATGCTGATGGAGCTTTTTTTTTCGTCTGTAAAAAAAGGTTATGTCCAAATAATGTTAAAGTTTACTATGCAAAAGTTAGTGTAGTAGTATGCAAATTCCCTAAAAACGAAAAGATGCGCCATAAATTATAGTAAAATATGGACTGTGAAAAAAGACTATAGAATACCCTTAAAGTGACTTTGCTGTGAATTTAGCTTGCACTATAAACTAATTAGTCCAATAAAAAAATCATTTCCATTTCTAATGGTTTTATTTTTTTTTTTAGCACATAGCACATTTAGTCCAGTTCAAGCACCTCTGCAGTATTTCTGTTTGCTCATGAGCTGGGAACAATGCACAGCCCCCTCACCTTGACTGAAATGTGCTCAAGCAAATACAGTGTTGTGTAAAATGGTCCTGTAATCCCTCGCTGACCACATCTGCCAGCTTGAAATTCTCCTATAGTTATACAATCCCACAGATCAGTTATCTCAATATCATAGCAGAGGTCATTTTGACATTGTATTGACTAGTTATTCAATTGTACAGCTATAGGCTACATTGTGTGCCCCTACAACCAACATCCCTCCTCATGGTCCGTTGCCCTTCGTGTATCATTTAACAGAAACAGTTAACTGTAAAATCTATTTTTATTAGACCAGGCGGAGAAATGTTGATTGGCTGCTGGCTTCTGTGTGGGAGGATTTGTCTTGCCTCAATAGATTTACATCAGGAAAACATATCCAGCATCTGAACTCAAGAAACTGTTTATATGCCTCCAAGCACTGAGGAGGTGCCTTTATCTCCTTGTATATCTGCTGAAGGGACTGTTTTGATGTTCACATAAGCAAGACTTCACTGTTTTCATCACCAAATGTGGTGTTTTATTCTGTCTTGTCCTGAGATTACTGCTTCTACAGTGTTTGTCTTGGCTCTTAAATAACATAAACTATTTTCATACTTTTCTGAATCATGCTTCTCTTAGCAATGAAGTTCTCACCACTAGCTGAGCTAAAAATAGTACAGGGGTCACTGTGTCTAGAGAATGTGCTTTTAGGTACTGTGTGTGTGTGTGTGTGTGTTTAAATGCACAGTATAAGATATGTGGAGTCTTGCCATCATCGTATAATCATCACTGCAGCGGCCAGGGTTTCACGAGTGCTTTATGCAATACATACAGCCTCCATGTCTGTGGGCGATGGACACGCTATCTATCTGTTGAGAAGAGCCAGTGGAGCCATAGTCAGGACTGTATTGAGTGTGTCGAGATGATTTGTTCAGGTTGTGCTTAAAGAGAAAAGGAAAACTGGAGGCACTGTTACCTTGTCTCCTTTCTCCCTGTCCTTTAATTGTTATATCTTTCTCTCCTGATGCGGAGTGTGTAGGTTTTGTCTCTGTTGACTGGTTATGTAATGCTTCCTGTTTTTGGAAAATGCTATCTAATGCCATCCTCCCTGCAACTGGATCATATGTATTGAGTCATATAATTACTTTGGTATAATGGCCATTCAAAATAGATGGTTGGCAAGATGTGCTGTCTGCAGTAAATATATAAACAATACTGTTCAAAAGTCAATACGATTTTTTCCAGTGAAAGAGTTTTTTAGAGCAAGTCTCTTATTATCACCAAAGCTCCATTTTGTCAAAGTAATTACAGTAAATAGTAACAATTATATTATTGTTATAATATTGTGAAATATTATTACAATTTAAAATTCCTGTTTTCTATTTAAATATATTTTAAAAAATATAATTTATTCCATTCATTATTCTTTGATGAATAGAAAGTTCAAAAGAACAGTATTTCTTTGAAATAGAAATCTTTTGTAACATTATTAACATCTTTTCTGTCACTTTTGATTAAATTAATGCATCCTTACTGACCCCAAATTTTTGAATGCTAGTATATAAACAAATTTTGTATTTGTAGAATATTTAAAATGTCAGTTATAGCTAAAAAATGAATTCTTATCTCATATGCTGTATCATCTGGTATATGTTTCCTTGTTCACACATAAAATAAATCCTTTTTTTAACTAATCTGACTAATTTATTCATAACATCTATAACTAATACAGAGGTTAGCTGTGAATAAATGGACAGATAAAATGACAAAATACTGGATATTTTAAACAAAAATTTGTGGTAAAAGGGAAAGGAAATGCAGGTGTCAAATTTATTTATTTATTTATTTTGCATGTTTCATTTGATAGGTATGATGTTGGTGTGTTCTGAACTTTATTTTTAAAATGTCAACTACCCATGTTTGTACAATATTACACATTCTATTAATAGAGCACTGAGAAAATGACCCTGACCCTGACATAAAAAGCACAGTTCTTTAATGATCAATTACCTATAGGCCTATATACTTTAAAAAATGTAACAACAACATGATTACATTCATGTTCTTCATCCAAAGCAATTAACAGCATCCGAATTGCAAAAATATTCCCCTTAATAGCCTTGTTCACACGTAATTAAAAAAAATCAAGTAGTTGCCTAAGACCTTCTTAGCGTCACTCTACCTTAAGCACCTCTGTGTCTTGATTAGCCGAGTCTGTCTGTTTTAGCATTCCTGTAATCTTTATATCTGACAACAAATAAATAAAGAAATGATTAATCAGATTCAATCATGAAAAGACAAAACAGAGGGGACAATTATGTGAAATATGCTTTTGTGTCTGAAAAACAATGGACACCTTTGAGGTTTCACCAGCACTGTGTGTCCTGTCCTTGCTTTGTTGCTCCACAGTGAGGTGACCTGATTTTGCAGGCTCTGAGGGAGAGGCCTTTCTCTGCGGAGGTTAAGACAGCTGTCTGAGTCAATGCATGTATAAGTAACCATCACGCTTACCGTCCTTTTCCTGCTTTTCACATCAGTCTAAATGAAGATGTGTGCTCATTTGAACTGAATGTATGAGAACTGGATAAATAACCAGGCCTTTCAAGTACAGACCTTCATGATAAAATTAAAGTTAAATTATTATTATTTTTTTTTTTTTACATTTTTTATTTTTTTTAATTTTTTTTGACAAACACAAAACAGAATAACACAAATTGCCCGACACACAAAGAAAAGTATACACAAACAAAAGTATACATAAAATGATACCAACAAAACCTTGTACTGCAAAACAAAAACGTGCAGCAGGACCAACAGAGACCAGGGAGGAAACAGAAGACAAGTACCTCAAGAGACATTATGTCATTCCAGACCTCAGAATATCACAAATAGAGGCATTTATGCTGTCCAGATATGGTGTCCAAATGCGATTAAATGTAGTTGTAGAGTGAATAAAACATGTTAGAATGGATAAATAACCAGGCCTTTCAAGTACAGACCTTCATGATAAAATGAAAGTTAAATTATTATTATTGTTTTTTTTTTACATTTTTTATTTTTTTTGACAAACACAAAACAGAATAACACAAATTGCCCGACACACAAAGAAAAGTATACACAAACAAAAGTATACATAAAATGATACCAACAAAACCTTGTACTGCAAAACAAAAACGTGCAGCAGGACCAACAGAGACCAGGGAGGAAACAGAAGACAAGTACCTCAGGAGACATTATGTCATTCCAAACCTTAGAATATCACAAATAGAGGCATTTATGCTGTCCAGATATGGTGTCCAAATGCGATTAAATGTATTAGTTGTAGAGTGAATAAAACATGTTAGACGTTCCAGAGGAATAGTCTCTCTAATAACTAAATGCCATCCTTTTATAGAAGGAGGTCTATCGCTGGTCCATGACATTAGTAAATTCTTCCTGGCAGCAAAAGTTAACAGGCAAAAAAGACATTTTTTTATGCTTATTATTAATAAACTTACAAGGAAAACCCAGGAGAAGAGACAGAGAGCCAGGATCCAAGGCCAGACCTAAGATGTTATTTAATTGAGCTACAATTCTGGACCAGTATTTTTTTTTAAATTTTCTGGACCAGTATCCAGTTTTTTTTTTTACATTTTTAACTATTGTACATGTTGTACTTGACAGTTAATCTAGAACTGGGTATTCAAACTGGGGTCCCAGGACTCCCAGAGGGCCGTGAGGAGGGGAAAAAAATTGGAGATAAAAAGTTATTTCTTAAAAATATGTATTTTAGAGATGTCAAAGTTAATACGTTAACTTCTGGCATTAATGAAATGATTATATTATTATTATTATTATTATTATTAGATATTAGTTAATATATTATAGTATACATTATACTATAAAAAAAGGACAAGCCATTATTTTTCAAACTAAATCTTCTACTATGAAATTATTTATATTAAGAATTGTAAATATATTATTATTATTATCAACAACAATGAATATTTTGCACTATTTATTATTATTATTCATTATATGTTCTTGTTATTATTATTCTGTTCATCTGTCCTTCTTTTTTTTATATAAAAATAAAAGTATATACAGTTGTCTTTATGTTTTAGGAAGGGGGTCTCTCACAAGGGTATCATATTTGGGGGCTTTATGGCATTTAAAAGTTTGAAAACCCCTGCACTACAAGACACTACAAGACAGATTTTTATGTGTAAAAAAATATCCCCCAGTTAATCCCATTCTTTCCGAGAAG